CACCTTTCCAAGCAGCCTCCATGTCTCCAGTGTCTTCTTCCCCACTTGGAGCTGAACCCAGAAGGACATTTCTTTCAACATGTCTAAATTTTGATCATATGACTATGGGGATAACAATAGCAATAGCACTTATATACCTCTTTACAGTGCTTTTACAGCCTTCTCTAAGCGGTTTACAGTGTCAACATATTGCCCCCAACAAGCTGGGTCTTCATTTTACCAATCGTGAAAGGCTGGAAGGCTGAGTCAACCTTGAGCCTGCTGAGATTTGAACTGCCAAACTGAAGTAGCAGTCATCTGAAGTAGCCTGCAGTACTGCACTCTAACCACTGCGTCGCCTCAGATCCTTGCAGATGCTGCAACAATAAGTGTGAAAAACAGTCATGTCACTTTTTTCCACTGCCATTATAATTTTAAAAGATCAGTAAACAAACTTATAAGTTGAGGACTATATCAGCGAATAAAATTAAATAATAAGCTGATATTTACCTACCTAAACAAATAAACCGAATGAGCATCAGCAGGTCAAAAACCAGTGAGACAGGGAGCGACTTCTAACTTCCTGCCAGCTTCCCCACTGACTTTGGTTGTGGGAAACTGGCAGAGAGAGTAGGAACAGAGCTAGAAGGGACCTTGGAGGTCTTCTAGTCCAGCCCCTGCTCAAATAGGAGAACCTATACTATTTCAGATAAATGAGTGTCCAGTCTCTTCTTAAAAACCTCCAGTGATGAAGCACCCACAATTTTTGAAGACAAGCTGTTCCACTGGTTAATTGTCCTCACTGTTAAAGGAAGTTTCTCCTTAATTCCAGGCTGCTTCTCTCTCTGAATAGTTTCCAACTGTTGTTTCTTGTCCTGCCCTCTGGTGCTTTGGAGATAATTAAACCCCTTCTTCTTTATGGCAGCCCCTCAAATACCGGAATACCGCTATCATGTCGTGTGCCTGAGGGGGACAGTTATGGCCATATTTTCCTGAATGAAACTGATCTGAACATCCTGGAAATTTCAATTTCACGGAAATAATTGGTCCTGGATTTTTAATACATTTTTAAAGTTGGCAGTGCCTTGATTTAGAAATTGTTGTGGCACAATACACCATTTTGAATTATCCCTCCTAAACCTTCAATTGACTCTGCGTTTAGGAAACCCTGGCTCTGACACCCTCTGCCAGGTGGCTGGTTGGCAGTGGCAGGATGCTCTTAAAGAGCTTGTATTGAGGATTGTGATGTTGTGATGTTTTGAAATTGATTGTGCATTGTTTCTATGTGTTTGTTGCTTTTTAACGTGTTTCTTTATTGCTGTTTTTTTTTACTTAAGAGCTGCAGAGTTGCTTAGATGAGATGGGAGGCTCTACAAATCAAATATACAACCACAATATTAACATGTGGTGGAAAAGATGCTGCAAAGATTGCAAATGTTGAAAAAAAAAGTTTCATTTTGGTTTTTAACTTTTTCATTGTGTATAACCTTTTGAGAGCTGACCAGACTTGTCTGGATGAGATAGGAGACCCTACACTTTGAATATATATATATATATTATATATATTATATATATATACATACATACATACATACATACATACATACATACATACATACATATATATATACACACACACACACACACACACATATATATATGTGTGTGTGTGTGTGTGTGTGTGTGTNACTGCTATTTAAAAAAAAAAGATTATGGACAATTTCCATGTTTTCATACTGGTTTTTAACTTGGTTTTTGTTGTTGTTTCTATCTGTTCTGAGTTGCTCAGTTTCTTAGATGAGATAAAGGAGCTACAAATTATGTAAATAGTAGTAACATCATCATCATCATCATCACAATGATGTGACTGAGGGATGATGGAAAGGCCATAAATGCAACTTTGGTCACAAAGTTATGAGTCGCTGCATGAGGCAGTTGGTAAGCAAAGTCGACATGTATATCACCCTCTGCTGAAAAACGCTGCCCAGCACTCTCGCTCACTCAAAGTCGGATATTTCAGACAAATCTAGTAAATTAAACTGCAGCAAACAGATGTATTTGACAGGGATAGAATAAACCAGACAGCCCTGTGACTCCTTGGGGGGGGGTGGGGTGTCATCCTTTGAAAGAAAGGTAGTTAGTAGTCAACAATGAGGGCAGACTTTGCTCATCGCACCAACCTCAGCAGAAATATTACACCATAGGAGTCGTGCGTTTTGCTTGGCTCTTTCTCTGTGGAGGCTCTGGTGTTGAAGGCAGGCGTTGTGCTCTGCAACTTTCCCACTACTTTCTCTTTGCCACATATTCTCAAGTGGATCCTCCCGTTTCTTCCCCGTCTCTGCTCGCCTCCTCATTCTGTGCCTTTCTCTGTCTTTCTGGAGACGGGCAGTCCTTTCCTCCTCTGTTTCTTCCAACCTCCTTCTCCTTGTTCTTTCTCTCTGATCCTGGAGGCGGGCATGCCTCTCCTCCTCCGTCTCTTTCTTTCTCCTCCTCCTCTGCCTTTCCTTGTCATTCTGGAGACGGGCATGCCTCTCCTTCTCTGTCTCTTTTTCTCTCTTTTTCTTTGTCCTGACTCTCTGATCCTGGAGTCTAGCAGCCCTAGCCTCATCCGATTCTTGTTCTCTCCTCCTCCTTGCTGCGTCCCGACGATATTTGTGGTCACCTCTTGACCCTGATTTTTGTCTTCTCTTTCCACGTGGCATAATTAGGTGGACAATATTTTTTTTATCCCAATGCTGGATGGTGCTGCCATTACCTAAGGAGATTGTACATTATAAATAGAAAAATTGTATAGTAGTCCTCCATTTACAATTGGAACTGAGCCCCAAATTTTTGGTAAGTGAGACAGTTGTTAAGTGAGTTTTGCCCCGTATTACAACATATTCTATCCACTGTTAAGTGAATCTCTGAAGTTGTTAAGTTAGTAACACGGTTGTTAAGTGAATCTGGCTTTTTCATTGACTTTTGCTTGTTGCAAAAAGTGATCACATGATCCCAGGACACTGCAGTTATCATAAATATGTATCAGTTGCCAAGCGTCTGTGGGAAGTTATTATCCACCCCTCTCCCAGAAAAATGAAATATCCTAGGAAATGTTGAAAAGGCAGAATATTTCTCTGGATGTGAAAAGAAAGAAACATGCTTTAAAACAGTGTTTTTCAACCTTTTTTGTGCAAAGGCACACTTTTTTCATGAAAAAAATCACGAGGCACACCACCATTAGAAAATGTTAAANAGCTTCCTCCCATAATTGGGGCTTACCAGGGGTTGTGACACTAATATATATATATATATATTCCAGAATGGTTGCTACAGGAGGCAGTTGGTAAAGGTTTACCACTGGTAGTCCAGAAGAAAATTTTGGTGGTCCGCAGAAAAATTATTTGCATTTTTATATTGCACTAAATACTATTTATCTTTTTTTTAAAAATAATATTAGTGGTCCGCGGGATTTAAAATCATGAATTTATTGGTCTCTGAGGTCCAAAAGGTTGGTGACCGCTGGTGTATACCATCCTCTGATGGAAAATTCCCCCCAACAGTCACACACTCAAGAATCAAATATACCAAACAAATCTATTAAATAAAAGCCTAGCAAATTGTGACATTTGATAGTGACAGCATCATTGCTATAATTAATTTCGGGGACCTTCAACACGCTCTGGTATCTTACCAGGCGGCACCGAATGCAACTCCGAAGCTGGTTGAAAACCGGCAGCGACAAAGCAATCGCGAGAAGTTCCGGCTGCCCCGTTCAAAAAGCCACCAGCGGATCCAAGTAATCGGGTACACGGAATAAAAAGTTCGAGGTCCCAGATCCAGGAGGGATTCCACCCCCACCCACCCCCAAAACAATTGCAAAAGTGCCTGTACCTGCAAAGAGAGCAACCTCTGGGCTGCTATGCACGTGGAGGCGGAAGGCAAAACAAAACGGGGACCTTACCTTCTTCCCCAGGAAGCCCCGCGCTGGCCTGCCTGCCTTACAGGCAGCGACCCTCCGCCGTGGGAAGAGCCGCCGCCTCTCTTCGCACCCGGCTCTGCTTTTCGCCCGCCTCCCTTCCAGGTGGGGCTGCAGCCCATCCGCGTCCTCTCTGGATGGCACGGGGAGGGGGGGAGAGACCAGGACGCCTTAAGAGGCGGAGCTCAGGCTGCATTTGCACAGGTTAAGCGTGGAAGTCAGGTTTCTGGAAAAGCGTGATAGCTGGTTGAGAAATCCATTACAGGTAGTCGTCGACTTAGGACCAAAACCGAGCCCAAATTTTCTGTTGTTAAGTGAAACATTTGTTAAGTGCGTTGTGATCCCTTTTACGACCTTTCTTGCCCTAGATGTTACGTGAATGTTAGATGAATCTGGCTTCTTCCCCGTGGACTTTGCTGATCAGGTGGTCACAAAAGGTGAACACATGACCTTGGGTCACTCCAACCTCATATGTACAAACCTAGTTGCCAAGCATCTGAATTTTGGTCATAGGATCATGCTGGTAGTAACTGAAAAACAAGGTCACTTTTGTAACTTTGAATGGTCACTAAATTGTCGACGACTACCTCTACTTGCCACCAACCACTATTTAGCCATGCCTGGCTGCTCAAGGCTTTTATGAGCCATACCTAAGCAAGTTCTCCAAGGACATGTCAAATTCACTTTTGAGTGTAATGTCTGCAACAATGTAAGTTGTCTTGCTTTCTTGATAACACGAAGAAAGATAAGTTGCTATAGGCTTCTTCTCTGATGCCTTTTCTAAAGGGTTTCATGATGGTCATTCATTCCAATACTTAACCGTATTTTTCAGAGTATAAGAGCCACCTTTTTCCCTCAAAAAAGAGGCTGAAAATCTGAGTGCATCTCATACACTGAATACAGCATTTTTGGCCTCCTGAAACCCCGCTCCCTTTGCAAAAATGGCTGTACATAGCCTTTAGGAGGCTTCCAGAGTGCTCCTGGGGGCTGGGGAGGGCAAGAATGAGCGAAACACGGACCGGTTTTTGCTTGTTTTTGTCCCTCCCAGCCCCCAAGAGCACTCTACAAGCCTCCTAAAGGCTATGCATGCCCCCCCCCTTTTTTTTTTTTTACAAAAAATGGGCCCGTTTTCATGAAAACGGGCCATTTTTGGGAAGTCTGCAGAGTGCAAAACCTTTTTTTAAAATTTGCCTCTTCAAAATCTTGGTGCGTTTTATACTTCGGTGCGACTTATACTCCGAAAAATGCAGTAGCCAAGCCCAGGCCGGGGTGGGGAGATTAAATAGAATTGAGGAGAAAAAGAATGAAAGTGTGTACTGTAATGATAATTCTAATTCCTGTACATTCTTTTTTCCTGTAGACTTAGTGCAGCAAAACAACAAAACATGAAAGTCCTGCCTGATTTGTAGCGCTTATTTGTTAAGATATATTGTTTTATTGATTCAAATTCATTGTTAAATTTCCCACCAGTTTTGACAGGGGCAGCATACAATTTACAATACAATAAAGTATCACCCAATAAAATTATTTCTTTATTGAAGAAAGATTAGATGGATGGATGGACAGTTAGTTACTGGTAGATACATGCTACCATTCAATGGCACTGAATATATTTTAATCATAAGTTTAATTAATAAAATTATAAGAGATTTGTAGAACCAAGCTTAAATTGGGTGGGTTTCGGCCAGTGGTGGGCTGCTGCGTGGTCGCGTGGGTTTGGGTGAACCCTTAGCTTTGATCGCTGGCTAGGCCCGCCTACTTACCCTTGTGCATTTATAACTAATTTTCTGGCTCCTTCCCTACGCCCTCACTGCTCAGCTGAGTTTTGCACTGCCCCTGCTTTACTTACTGAAGCTGCCTGAGTTGATTACCTGCTTTTTGAAGCTCCCAAAGGGGCTCGTGCGAGTGAAGTTAGGGCATGTGCGCACTCACAACCAGCAAACATCTGTCCCCCGGAAAGTGCAAAATGGCACAAAGCAGTATCTCTTACAGCAGGGGTGTCAAACTCAATTTCATTGAGGGCCGCATCAGGGTTGTGTTTGCCCTTGGGGGCTGGGGTGGGTGTGGCCAGGATGGGCATGGCCAGCTTAACGTCACGTGTCAGGAACCTGTGTGTCAGCCTGACCGCTTTGCCAGCGAAAACAAGACTCCCGAGCTGTTTTTGGCTTGGATGACCTCATGCAACCTTCTGCCAGCGAAAATGGATCTCGGGAGTGCCACCCACGTCCCTTGCAAGCTCCATTTTCAGCTACGATGGCCTCCTGCAACTTTCTGTCTGCAAAAATGGAGCTTGGGAGGGCCGCACACAGTCCTCCCGAGCTCTGTTTTTGCTGGCAGAGGCACTGCAGACCAGTACTTTGCTGTTTCCAGGGTGGCCCTGCAGGCGAGATCTAACCACTCCACGGGCTGGATCCGCCCCCTGGGCCTTGAGCTTTACATCCCTGCCTTACAGATATCGACCTGCTGACCTATTCAGTTCTACCTGTCCCAAGTGAAAGCAACTACCAAGATCATTTTTAAATTGCCTGATAACCCAGATTTTGAACAAAGAACTTCAATGTGAAACAAGCACTTCTTTAAAAACATTTTAATGAATCAATATATTTAGAAGCCAGTCTTGTGCTTGATTCTTGGTCATCTGCTGTTTCACTCCAATGTTGAATCATTTCATAATCTCCGAGTCTGCAAGTTAGACCTGAACACCAACCCTGCCCTCGAGAATGTTCCTCCTGGATGGATTTTTATGTGTTTATGACACAGAAAAGAACCACGGGATCTTTTTAATATGCTGAGCATTTGTGTGCTTTTCTCTGGTATAAATCTGCTTGTGAGTCACCAAGTTGGATTTGGCATTCATATTGCTTCTCTTATGTATGGTCCTCTTGTTTGATAAGGGCATCTCACCCAATGAAGCTTTTGCTAGTATTTATGTGGCTTTTCATGTGTAGATTCTCAGGTATTTGACTAGAATCCACTCCCCACTCACCTCAAAAAGTGTTTCCATATTAAGTGCATTCATATGGTTTTCCTACTGTATGGGACCTCATATTTAATCAGAGTGGATTTTACATTGAAACTTTTGCTGCAGTCTGAACATGGCTTCCCTGCTGTGTGGATCCTCTTGTTCTTTATGAGGTTTGTGTTCTAACCAAAACTTCCTATACTCTAAGGAAATACAGATTTCTTTTGCTGAATGAGGGTTCCCCTTTGAATAATGGAAGGGGGAGGTGTTGGGGAGGGTATCTGAAACATTGGGGTTGCACACCATCTCATGCTTCTCTTAATTACGGCATGTTCCTCCAAACTGAAAATTGGCTTCATTTACTTTTTGATCATCATTTTCAGGCAGAAAAACTTCACTGGCTTTCTTTACTGGGTGCTTTTATGCTCCTGCTGGATTTATTGGCTTTCTTTTAATCCCGGACTCCAGAAAATAATATTTTGACTCATTCCAAACTCTTGCAAATGTCTATTACTTCCGAGCTTCCAACCTGGAAGGTCTTCTCTCTCCTTATGTATTTATCATATGTCATATTCTGAGAGAAAAAGAAAAGCATTTATATCATTTGCCTCCAATAATAAATTCCATTTCAAACAACTTATGTTATGAATTCTAGTGTTGGTGGGTCTTCTCACATGTCTAGTCTTCCCCCTCCTGTTTGACCTAAGAAATCCCATATTCAAGCATCCTCATCTGATGGCTTTCCAGCATTGCCTATAGACTTCCTGTTTGGGAGAACATCTCCATCAAGAAAACTCTCTTCTATCACCCCAGAATTGTTTGCAATCATTGAGTCTGCAGCCTTACCTAGTGAGTTGGCCTCCCCATCATTCTCTTGCTTTATCTCCAGGGTAGCTTCCCCTTCAGAACGTCCTGGACCTCTTTCTCTAATTTGGGAGATGTTAACATCATATCCTCCAGGATTTTGGATTCCCGAAGACAAAAAAAAAGTCAGTTCTGAAGTCTGGATTCCCAAATCAAACAATATGCTAAGTCAAATTTTGAGTAAGTGCAATTTGCATACCTCTAATAAATATACTTTATTTCCTAATACGTTGAAGGAATGGCAAGTGTGTCCATATAGGTGACAGCTCCAGATACTTTTGGGACACAATTCTACACTGAGATACAGATGAACTGACACCGAAGTACAGAAAACTGTTGCCTGCAACTCTGAAGCGTAGTGACCAAAAGACTCTTCACTACTTCACCAGAGATGCTGGTTAGAAAAGTAGGCTTTGTGAGGCCCTAACCATGATACAATTATTACAGTTGAATGTCTCTTTGGCTATACACAAGAAGCAAATCCTTTGAAACTTCCTAATTTCATTCCAGAAACCAGTCATTAAGCACAATGGTGTCTTAAGTGAAAATCACGGTGGCCCTACAGTAGGTGTGACTGTGAACCAGGCCTTTAAGGCCTGGGAAGACCCGGTAGGAGTGGGAACAGACCTGTTAGGACCCAAGGTGAGGGGAATGGAGCATGGTGGTGTCTTGGGATTGAGGGAGGCCTGGGGAGGGCCAGGGCAGCCGGGCCTGGGCTTATGCTAGGACTCCAAGGGCCTCCCCCATCCTGGAGGCACCCATGCTCCACTTAACGACCCAGATGTTCATTTAATGATTGTTTGAAGCAGGGAATCTGGGGTCGTTGAGCTATTTCACCTACAGACTGCAACCGTAATGCTCTATTGCGCTCATATACTGAGAGTTACCGGTACATTATTAAACTAAGGCTTTATTAATAAAAGTTCCTAAGTACTAAATTATCTGAACGATATGCAAAGATTTAAAAGGTAATTATTAATGACAAAAACATTTTAACCTTAAAGGCATCTTTACGAGAAAATGTACAAAATGTTGTTTTAAAATGTCTACTTCAGGAAGGAGGACAGAAATTGTGTAGGGAAGGCTGAAATAAAGTCACGAACACATTCCCACCTCACCAGGCCAAGCACCCTCCTTTCTCCTCAGTTACCACAGTTTTCAAGAGCGCTGGAATGTTTGTGCGGCTACATGGTGCCATTTTGAAAGCAGCCGCTATTTCGTCCTGCCTACAAAATGGCGGCCACATTCAAGTCGGGCTGTGCGGCCGAGGTGCAAACTGCTTCATTTTGTTGCCTTCTGCTCATTGCCGCAGCATCGAGAAGCTTCAGCAGCACCAAGAAGCTTCTGCAGTACTATGACGACCGCTCTAAGGCAGCACAATGAAGCAGTTTGTCTGGCGGCTGCCATTTTGTCCCCATCCAGAGACAAGTGGGGACAAAATGGCAGCCGCATTGAGTCACCACCATGCGGCCCCAGGAACAAACTGCTTCCCTTTGCTGCCTTAAAAAGGTCTGTGTGCTGAGGATGCTTTCTCCAGCATTTAGAAGCTTTTTCAAGCCCATGCAGCAAAATGTGTTTTGTCGGGCGGCTGCCATTTTGTCCCTGATCGCCAGTGGACAGGACCAAAATGGCAGCCGCATTTGGATCATCATTGCATAGTCTGGGGACATATGGCCTGCCTTTCTTCCCCAACATGAGGTCTCGGAAAGCTTCAGAAGGGAAGTGTGGGGCATGATGGGTGTATGGGGTGGAGGCCAAAGTGCTGCAGGATCCCAGTAGGGTGGGATGGGGGAAAAAGGCAAAGAGGCACTGCAGCATCCCTGTGGTGGGTTGTAAGGTCAAATGGCCGCAGGGCTGCTGCAGTTGTTGCAACTTTGAAATGGGGTCATGTGTAGCTTTTGGGGGTGGGGGTCTGTTGTAATATTGAACAATAGCTAAATGGCTTGTCATACCTCAAAGACTACCTTTATGCACCCCCCCCCCCAAGTTATGTTTTTATTATATTGTAGGCTGGGATCTTGAATGGAATGCAATGCAATGGAATGTGGGTGGAATAGAAATAGAAAAAAGCTAAAGGGAAACTCAGTGTATGAAGTCCTCATTGAGTCAGCGACTACTCAAGTTACAATGGTGCTAAACAAGGACTCATAAGCGTCCTCAGAGTTCAAGTGTCGCAGTGTTCCCACCATTGTATGATTACACTCTATACAAATTACGATGTTGCAGAGCGCTGTGGTCATGTAATTGCCACCAACTTCACATAACCAACATTAGTGTGGAGCAGTGGTGGGTTTCGGATCCCGTTGCAACCAGTATGGTTGCAATGGGCCCCGGCGTCCTCCACATGAACAGTCCAGCGACGCCTCTGCGATGCTCCAGCTGCTTGGCGGAGCATCGCGCAGGCACTGTACGCGTCAAAGAGTTTAAAGACAGGTAAGGAGCACGGGTGGGTGGGCCCTCCTGAGTACCAGGAGGTATCCTGGTATCCTGAACGGTATCCAGTGCTCCTGGCAGGCTCTGGTATGCCCGTAGCGGGAAATACCGCCTGCAACCCACCACTGATGTGGAGGGTTGCAAGGAAGGTCCCCCACAAATCCTCTTTTTCTTCCAAGAAGCCCACTAGTGAGTATAAGTTCCTGGTTCTCATATTCCATAAGGCCTCCCTACCTAGCACCTATTTGAAGATCCCAGCCTACAACATGATGACAACATAACTTTATAATTAATCCTGGTATTTATGACCTTTGCATCTCTGCAAAGCAAAGTAAGCCAAAGTAAAATCGTAAGCACAGTATCTCTGTTTCAGATTTCCTTTGCTTTACAAATCTGTGAAGGTCTGTACAAATCTGTGATTAGTTGTAATTTTATTTTTACTCATTGCTGTTAACTATTCTCAAAAGCGTCTGAGTCAAACTATTCTCCAAAGGACCTGAGGGTAGGACAAGAAGCAGTAGGTGGAAACTAATCAAGGAGAGAAGCAACTTAGAACTGAGGAGAAATTTCCTGATAGTTAGAACAATTAATTAGTGGAACAGCTAGCCTCCAGAAGTTGTGAATGCCCCAACACTTGAAGTCTTTAAGAAGATGTTGGATAGCCATTTGTCTGAAGTGGTATAGAGTTTCCTGCCTAAGCAGGGGGTTGGACTAGAAGACCTCCAAGGTCCCTTCCAACTCTGCTATTCTATTCTATTCTATAAACTGCAGTTGTGAAATGAAGACCACATGTGCAAAAAGAGAATTTACAATTACAGTACCTCTAAACATCAAATCGGATACACAACCTTTATAAGATTTGTGTTTTTTTGTGTTTTCAGGAGCATCAGAACTGTTGCTGGCATAGCTGGTTGATGGTTGAGGATTGTTTGGGTGTTTTATTCCCGTGGTTAGAAAGGGCAAGAGGGAGGGAAGTTTGGTTTCTTTACCTCCGTTTTCCTTCTTTTTTCCTTCATATATTTCGTGGTAACATTTTAAGATTTCACACATTTCCCAATGTACCTTTCTAAAATGTTCTTCATCTGGATCCATACTTTCTAAGTCTGATAACATTTTTTTAACTCCTGAGAACATACCAGCCAATCCTTTCTTAGTGAATGTTTTCAATTCAACTTCTACAACTTGTTCTTCTTTTTCTCTTTCTCTTTCTGCTGCTTCTTCCCTAACCTTTTGTGCCTCCCGTTCTTTTTTCAGTTCAATTAAATCTTCATTCGAAAGCTCTCCCTCAGTATAAGCTATCAAAGTTTTCACGTCTTCGGCCTCCACCTCTAAATCAAGGGATTTTGTGAGTGTCAAAATTTTCTTATTTATTTCATCCAAGTTTTGCTTATGACTAAATCCTTCAAAATTATTTGCAAAATAAGCAGCATAACCTTTTAAGCACTTTTGCCAAAACTCTTGCATTCTTTTCACACTAAAATCCTCCCATGCTGCTACAAGACTTTTGATACAATGCAGGATATTATAGCATTCCCAAAACGTGTGCAATGTTATTTTGTCATCTTCCGTTGCGGCTAAGGCTTTGGCAAACAATGCATGCAAATAGTATGCCCTGAATAGCAAGATAGCTCTCTGGCACATTGGCTGCAGGAGAGTGGTGATGTTTTGCGGTAAATGAACTACCTTTACATCAGGGTGGAGACTATCGAGATGCAGTGGGAGTCCAGGTACTTTGTGTAGAAGCAGGAGAATTTTAAAAGGAATCCCTTTTTGCCCACAATATTCCTTTACCTGAGGTATGAAACAATTTGTAAACCAATCCTCAAAGAGGATGTGTGTCATCCAGGTCTCGCAATCAAATCGTAATCAATAGGCAGGGTCTCCTTGTTTATTTTTTGAATCATACTAGCATGATCTGATTGGAGGATCACAAATGGCTTCAGCTTGAATCTGGCAACATTCCCCCCCCCCCCCAATAACAAGGTTACTCTATCCTTAAATGCTTTACAACCAGGCATTGCTTGAGCCTCTTTGTGTATACACATCTGCTCCGGCATTCTTTTCCAGTATAATCCAGTTTCATCCACTCCGAATATCTGATCCGCAGAATAATTTCCCTCTACTACAACTTCATCAAGTTCATCCAGAAAATGTTTGGCAGTCCGTTTTTTAGCGTGTAAAGCTTCATGTGATGGTAATATCTGATAATGAAATCTTTGCTGAAATCGCACAAACCAGCTATGACTAGCGGTGAATGTTTTGGTGCATTCTTTCCCTGCTTGTTCCTTCAGTGTTGTGAAAAGGCTGCGTGCCTTAATCTGAATGAGAAAGCTAACCTCTTTTGTATCCGGTCTCTGATCCAAAGAATCAAGAGTGGTTCCATTTCAGGGGTGTGGCGTTTTTGTATTATTGTTATATTTGTGTTCATTCCTATGGCTCCTTTCAATGCTTCTCTGATCCTTTCCCTGTCCTTCACAGTAGCACAAATGGTGGAACAAGCCAGACCTTCTTCTTTCGCTATTTTATGCATCTTCTTCCCAGCTTCATAGGCTTTGATGATCTTCATCTTCAAATTGAGATCAACGGCTTTCCGATGCCTCTTTCGCCTTGCTTCAGTTGAACTGGGGTTCTTTCTCTTTGAAGACATCTTGATATGGGATATAAACGCATATTATAAACAAGTAAATAAGCAAGTGAAAATAAGAGCAGATGACATGTAATACTAACTATAATACCATGTTTCCCCGAAAGTAAGACAGCTTCTTATTTTCTTTTGACCCCCGAAATAAGCGCTTGGTCTTATTTTCAGGAAGGACTTAATATTTTTGAGGTGCAGGGTCAGCGTGGTCACCTCATGGCTGCTGCTGTGTTGCAATATTTTCGGGGAGGGCTTATTTTAGTGCATGCGCTCAAAAGTCTGATTGGGCTTATTATCCGGGAAGGGCTTATTTTCAGGGAAACAGGGTATGAATATGTTACTGAGAAAGAAATGTGCAAAAATAAAAAAATGCATTCATTGGTTACATAATTATTATTTTTATTACTGTTGTATTTGCAAACGGTCATTAAGCAAGGCAGTT